AGCTTACCAACTTTACCCGATTCCTTAAAAAAGCTCTGGTGTTTTGATACACAAATAAGTAGATTACCAAATTTACCCGATTCCTTAACGAGTATTAAACCTGAATCATTAAAAAACTTAACGCCTCAATAACAGTCCTACTAAATCAAATAACTCCTATTACAAATAATAACAAGTACCAATTTTATCAATTTTTCTTTAGACATTTTCTTCTCGACTTTATATCTTTATTGCCTATTTTAATAGAATTTGATTTACCTCTAGAAAAAATAAATTCCAAAATAAACTTACTTATCCCAATATAAACATTTTTATATAATCTTTTGATAACCATCGATATACCAAACTAGACGATAATAGTGAAGCCTTCCTGCTAGTTTGCATACGGGTTGTGATTTGTTGGAAAATTTCATCATGATTAACTTTTTATTTCAACTTTTAAGGGTGTTGACATTTTTATTTTCAACTCATGTTTAACACTTTATTTTTCATTAAAAAAATCAGGTGATAAGTTTTTATCAAATTATCACAAAATTTACGCAGCTAATAAAAATTATGAATCCAAATGTAAAAGTATTTCATGCCATTTTATACTGTAATTATATATATTCATTCGTTTTACTTATTTGAAAAGGATTTTTTTTCACCAACAAAAAGAGAAATGATGGAACTTTGGTACATATTAAATTACCAAATATTCTACTTGAAATCTTCATGTAATATTGACGTAAGTTTAAATATACAGTATATGAGGATTTTTTAGATTTTAAAAAACATTTTTAAAGATTTAAATTTTTTTCATATCAAAGGTATATTTAATCTATGTTATTGTTACATTAAATATAATTCCGCCCAGAGACACCATAATTTCGTATGAAATTTTTTCTGATATTTGTTGATCATTTTGACGGTTCCAGATAGGATGACAAAATAGCGGGATGCCAGGCTGCCGGAAATCCTTAAATAACTTTACATTCCACGCCCGCCCTTCTTATGTTTGCAAGTATACTCCTTAAAATCCTTTCTTTAATCCCTTCGCGATATTTTCGCTTTCGCCGATTTACATTATAATTTCATATTTGTAATTTCTTTATTGTTATTAATTTCTGATTTTTCTTACAATAATTTTCGTGATTGGCATTTATTTAGTTTTATATATTGACATTGCGAAAGTGTAGAGCGCCGACTTTGAGATTAATTTGATAATATTAAATAAATTTAACGTCAACATTATTTCATTTTTACTCAAAAAACCTTTTGCTTCTAAAATTGTTTATAAATACATAAACGAAAGAACTGAATACATACAACAATATTTCAGATATTATTAATATATTGTTGCCGCTGGATAATTAAGTGTTCAAGAAATATACAATTATTTGTGATTGAAATAAAGTAGATAGATGGAAATGAATTTTAACAGACGAGTTTTAAACACGACTCTCTTGGAGCTGCATAAGTTTGTACCAATGCCAGAAAAATTACTTAATTCCGTTGATTTTGTTTCAATTCCGGAAAAATCTTTGGTCACTCTTATTCAAACGATCAACTTAAAATGAGTGGAATTCAAGTTAGGGAACATGTTCTTAAATGGGGGACTAGCTCAAAATCCAGAACTTTCTTCGGATCCTTCTAATTTTACATAGAAAATCAAAACTGTTATGTTGATCAGTAAATAAATATGCATGTTTCATTTACAAATTGTGAAAAATAAATTTTATAACGCTTAATCCTAGACCACAAAAAAAAAATGTCGGACATTAAAGAATCGATTGACTGGTTTGAAGAAAAAATTGATGAAGGATATTTCAATTATTATGAATATTTGGACTTCAAGAATATACAACCAATAGGAAATGGTTCGTTTGGAAACGTAATGCGTGCAAATTGGAAAAGTAATGATCGCCTTCGCTTTGAAATTTTTTAAAAATGATAAAATTACAATTAGAGAAGTTATAAATGAGATATCGTAATTATTTAAAATATTTTATCAGTTAATTAAGAAAATTAATGTTATTTAATGCTTTAAAGATAATATTGCACAAGAGAGTTGACATTCAACCAAATATTTTACGTTTTTATGGTATCACAAAGGAAGTAAATGGTAAATATTAAATATAATGTAAAATTTTTTTACTAATAAATAGTTTTCTTATTATAATATGTTTATTTGAAGGAGATACAAACCATCAAATAAACAAATACTCTTTGGTTTTAGAGTATGCCGATGGTGGTACGCATTATGATTATTTGATAAAATATTTTAATGACCTTGATTGGAATGAAAAATATCAGTTAGCTTTACAATTTGCAAGTGCTGTAGAATGTATGCATGATTTTAACATAGTTCATCGCGATTTGGTTGGTATTAATTAACTTGGTAATTGTTTCTTTTCTTATTTGTTATTATTCTTAATAAAAGAGTTCGTTTTTTTTTTATGATTATAGCACGCAAAAAATATACTTATACATCAAAAAAGCATTAAATTAGCAGACTTGGCTTATCAAAGAAAATTGCTGAAGAACCGAGCTATATTGCCTTATGTAGATCCAAAAGGTTTAAATGAAAAGAACCAAAATTAAAAAATCTGATGTCTATATTATTGGAGATTTGATGTGGCAGATTTCAAGTGGACGTCAGCCATTTTATTTCGAAGGTGTTGATTATGATTTAAGGTTAGCTTTGAATATAATAAATGGAGAAAGACAAGAAATTATTGATGGAACTCCTACTGAATATAGTAATATATATCAAGGTAAATAAATTAATATTTTCATTTATTTGAAATGAATTCGGAATTCGAACCATTATTTATATTTATTTAATTAGAATGTTGAAAGTATGAACCAGTTTAGCGTCCAATTATGCAAAGAGTCGTTTCGAACATTAAATCAAAAGAAAATAATTCATTTATGGAAGATAAATTCAGTGTTAAGTCAAGCAAATATACTTTTGATTTAAATAAGGGTTTAGTAATCGATTCTAAGGGTTATTCAATTAATACAGTTAAATATGAGAGCAGTTTACATAGTCAAGAATCTTTTCAATCTATTCTGTATTCCGAAAGACTCCTTTGAGTCGAAATTTATAAATGATATATAACTATTAATAAGTTAATTAAATATGTTATTAAGAAACATGACGAAGGTATTGCTTTCGATCATATTAAACAA